TATATATATACTGTATATATATATATATATATAGAGAGCCATTTTCATGACTTCTGAATAAAAATGCTCACGATTGTGCAGGTTGTGTTTCTGTAGTTCCTCCTTATTTAGCTTTACTTACTTTGCCTGAAGCCGCCTCTGAAGATGAGGCCCTGTGAAGTCTGCCAGCTGCTCTCATGTTGATAACACACACTATCTCCCTGATTCCAAGTGAACATAATAATGCCAAATGAACATTGCCTTGTAGGGAAGAGGAATGTAAACCAGATTTAAATGCTGCTGTGCACTCTCAGGAGCTGGGAGGCAGTGTATGATAACAATGTGACTTCTTTAACTTAACAGGGCAAATGTAAGACCTCAGGAGACTCTCATCTCATCCTCACCGTTGTTTTCTGACAAAGAAAGCATGTCTAAGAAAGGAGGCAAATATAAATCTTTCACAAGTAAGCCTGCATGATGATGAACTCCAGGAATATGAAATCTTAACCCTTGCAGTGGGGCTACCCCCATACTGCAAGCATTAAGTGCTCATTTTGTCTAGGGAGCTAAAATAACAGTTATACTCACCTGAACCTCAGTCCTGCCCAGCTGCAAGACCGGTTTCTGCAGCCTTACTCCCCCTCCGCTCTGTCAGTCTACGTATCCTTCAGTCATCGATGTATTAGACATGAAGACACTAAAGGACATTACACCGCTGCAGTGGAGGAGGAGCGAGGCTGCAGGGACCAGTCTAGCAGCTAGCAGGGTCGGATGTTCAAGGGAGCATAACTTTCAGGGTTATTCACAAAAGAGTGACGAGTTTGGAGAAGGCAGGAGAAGTGAACAATCTGGGACAACGTAGCTGACCTGGAAAGAGCTGAATTGGAGGATTTTTCCAAATCAGCTATGTTGTCCTAGATTGTTCTCTTCTCCTGTCTTCTCCAAACTCTTCACCCTTTTGTGGATAACCCCTTTTTGTTTTTTTAGCAATTTCAATTTTTATTATTGGCATGTATTATTGAATGTCCATTCTATTTATTCCCCTGTGGGCCCCTCCTGAGTGTTATATGGGTAAAAAAATAAAGTGGTTCTGTGATGTTGCCTTAAGACCTCCAACTGTAAATGAATCCTACAGTGGAAAAAAACCAATGTGCAAAGTGCAGAAACCCTCACCGCCATTAGAAAGACCTTCTCTTTGATTTTTCTGATAGCTGTAGACTGGTGAAGGTAAATGTGTCGGGTTTGTGTGCATTGTTATTAGGACTACTATTTGTCCTACCTTATTATACAAGCCTGTGACCAGCACAGCAGATATTATGAGTTTGATCACTCATCACTGGGAACTTTGATTTCTTCCTCTCATTAATGGGATATTATTATTGTACTGATTGAAGCGCTGCTCATTCAGCAGATTAGAGCTTGGATAATTGTCCTATCCATAGATTTTCATAAAGCTAATATTCTCCTTGAGAAGTATTAGGAGCACTTCAAATTCAAAGGTAATTTTAAGAGATGGCGCACTCAGACAGACAAGGACACACTGAAGATGCACGATTCTGTGTGAATGGTCTGCCCATTATTTATAATAGGCTGTGAAACCTTTGTTTTGCCTTTGTGAACCACAGTTAATGTCTGAGGAGACCTGTGGTTTAAGAGATTGGAAAAAACAAAGCTTTCACTGAAGGCATTGGAAGGCTGGCGCTGTACAAATATGTACCATGCTGATGGCAGCAGCAGTAATGACCCCCTATATTAGCAGGTACAACGTCAGAGGTGATCATGTCTGCATAGCAAGGGATGTATGTGAATGGTGTCTGAGAATATGTCAATGTAATGGGTATAATGTCAAGTACAACTGATGAGATCAATGCGTGCCGACTGTGATGGATGACAGAGGAAGACACTTTACTTACTCAGGTATCTCATTAGTCAGTTGGCTTGAAAACAAGGAAACAACATGGACACACATAAGACAGCAGACAGACATATCTGACAAACACTGACAATTGTTTGAACATTAAAGGGAATTATTAAACAAAGCCTGGTATTTATTTAAAGTGGCTTTGTGGAACCAACTGTATTTTTGTCTGAAGGTGCCTATAAATGGCTTGAAATTGGGCATATTAAGCTTCTGTGACCTAAACAGCTGATAATACCATGATCATTGATTTAATGACTTCATAGGTGTGTGTGGTGCTCCCTGATTTTGAGCTTGCAGGTTTCAGGCTGTTTCTGACCACCTCAGCGGTGATAACAGGTATATCTGATGGTCATACTCGCCACACAGGGGGATTTAGCAACTGTTCTTGGAGAATCTTGCTACAAGCTGACGCAATCCTTCTCACCTGCTACAGAGCTGATGAGGGAATTCAAGTGCTATGTGTGCCGCTGTCACTATCGGTTGGATATGAATGCAGGTCTCAGAGCTCAGGGAGCTACCTGCTATGTTATCTGTATATGGCCACCTGAGACATTTCTGTCAGGCCAAATACTTTTGTATGGCTGGGTAAATCCCAGCAAATGGCTGAGTCAGGTGTTGAGATCTGATCTTCTTTTCTCCATGTAAATTTTTTACATTTGTCACATTTTATATCTATTTATGCTGATAGTCATAGTGTAAAACAATATCTTCATGGCGGGCCTGCTTCACAACATCATACCACTTGCTAGTAAATTCCATTGATTGAAGTACATCATTATGATGACAAATACATGTGTCTCCTTGTACCCTGATTCAATTCCAACAGTTTATAAAGTGTCTGGAAGCATGTCCAAAATCAAATGTAGGGATAGGATAAGGACAGGGGCTGCAATATCCTTCAGTTACAATAAAGAAGGCTTCCCTTGCATCCTTCCTCCTTGCTCACCCAAACTAATCCTTAAAGTGACACTAAACTCAGGAGTTAAATCTTAAAAATGCATTCAAGTACATTCAATACACTACAATCTCATGTTTAGTTTAATAATTTGTATTGCGATTGTAGTCCATCACAAGAGCGAGCTTGGAGCGGTGGCAGCTTTACAACACACACAGGGACCATGGGGAACAAAAGTAGTCCCCCTCCAGAAGGAAGGACAGTGTCAGCACCAATTCAGAGGTGATTTGAGGATCTACAGCCGAGTGATACACAAAGAGACATTTTAGTTAATAGTTTGTGTACTTGAATGTAGTTTGAAGATTTATTTCCTGAGTTTGGTGTCCCTTTACTAAGCCTAAAAAGCTTGCACACCTAAAGGAATGTCAGTGATCCTTTCTGTGGTGTAGCTCCTTAGGAAGCCCTCTAGCTGCAGTAAACTATATCAGATACATGTGCAGCCAAAGCAGTAAAATCAGATGGTTGATCCACATTTGTACTGCCCTCCAACCACCCACCTAAAACCTGACATGGCAGTTGCTCGGGTTTTTACACATGCCGTGGCAAATTTGATATAGAGTGACATATTTGGCAGGGGGTGCTGCTTGTCAAACGCAAACTTTGAAGTCAATGGGACCATGCTGCAACTGCATGCCAACCGCGTGGCACTTAGTTGCAGCATGGTATTGCAATCCAAAAGGCTCCTTGGGAGCAAAACAAATGCATTCAGGAGGAGGCAGTATCACCTACTCAATGCCTGCAAACTGGCTGTCAACCACCCTCTGAAAAGTGATCCAACACATCTCACTTTTCAGAGGATGATTAAAGTCAGCCGCACATGTGAAATCGAGGTCATAATCTGGACCACCAGGACCCTTAATAGTCCCAGCATAAGACAGCAGGAACATGGAATGTTTATATTTAAGGTACAGGTATTACTCTTTGAAAGCAAACATTGTGTCACTGGTAAATGATCACTTTCACTAACTTAAAAGTTAACTAGATGATATAAAACACTGCAGGCAGAGATTTTCAGCACCGCCCTATAATGACAAGGATCAGCACTCAACGTTCAATATTAGAAGTTCAGTAACAGAAAAAAATGAGTCTCCAAATTACTTTGGTGGCATTTCAGTTAAAAGCTGCATGTGATTTTAGAAAGGTGTTTCTTCTACTTTCAACTGTCAGTAAAATCCAGACATTTGCCAAGATAGCGTATATATTTTTAACAATATATATTCCCTTTAATGGCCCATTTAATTGCCACACGACGGCAGGCACTACGAAGCAACAGCAATGATCAATGACTGAAGAACAGGATAACGGGTATCCTGAATTATTGATTTCCTGGAGAGATAAAACAAGACTGATTTAATAAAATGTATGACTCACGGGAGCTCCTTCTACACACTGGAGTGGATTTATGAAACCTGCAGGGCTGTCATAATGTCGCTGCCTTGCCTAGAACATTGGACAACATTTCATAATTCTGCTGGGAAGCCCTGCCTTTTACTGATGACACGGCAGGTCTACGGCAGCCACTGGTACGCCTCATGTATTTGGTTGGAGCACCAGTTCATAAGTTTGCCCATTTGTACCCACGACTGCGGCTGAAGATGTGCCAGACCGAGGGCACAGCAGCAGGGAAAGTCAATATTCAGGGCTCGGTATTAAAGAACTGTCTCTCTTGTTTAGTGACTGTGTAAATGTGGTTGGTGTGTGGAATGATGGCAATTCTGTCACTGAAAGCTACTTATTGCACGTGCCCTATAAGCACACCTACCAATTTTGTAGGTGGGGGACTGCTATAAATGGCACTGACTTACTTTTTGGTCACTTTGTGGTACTCTAGGTAAGTCTTTCCATCAAATGACACGGCTTCTGAGCTTCCAGCTGACTTTTCAATAGTAGCTGCGGATGAAAACAAACAATATCGTATATTAGTCATCTACTGAAAAGTTCTTAAAAGACTGCATTTCATTTTCAAATCATATTTGTTTTCCTCTATTGGAAGTTGTTATAACTTTTAGTTCTGAATATGGAGTTTGCAACTGTTAAAAGCCTTTTTAGTTCTTTTCTACTGTCTGTGGCCCATTGGGGAGATTTCCCTTCATTTCCTGTCCTGAAGACACCAGAGGAAGTGAGAAACAAATCTCTCCAGCGTGAGGGCAGATCACCTCTTAGATAACTAAGCCCATAGGAGTTGTGTATGCAAGATTTCCCTCTACTTCTGTTCCATTGTGAATATTTTATGTTCTTTTTACTTTCTGTCCCGGTGAAAACAAAAAGTGTTTTATCTCCCCAGCGGAGAGACACATTGCAGTGTAAAGCTGACAGAAGTTTCAGCACTTCCTCATACTATCCAAAGCTAAAATAAAAAAACCTGTTGGCTTTAGATTTAAAGACAAGAAACCAAAAGAAGGAGGATTTATCAAAAAGAGAACTCCACCATTACACCCCCCACCTCCCCCCAACAAAAACTCTCATAAATGCTTTCCATTTACCTATTCACATGGCTTATTGGCTTTGTATGTGATGGTCCAGGTATTGATCCACACTGAGTGTTTGGGTGGCTTCCCCTAGGGGGTGCTCTGCTTTCATTACACAATCCTAAAACATGCTCGTAGTTTAATTAGCTTCCTCCATGAACTGACCTTACTGTGTGTGACTGTGTTAAGGTCCCCACACACCTTGCAATAATCGTACGATAATCGCAGGAAATCCCGCGTTCGTGCGATTATCGTAAGGTGTGTGGAAGCCGTGCGACCTCTACTACTGTAAGGTCGCACGACTTTTAACTCACGAACATGTTCGAAAACCCGCCGAGCATCGTACGATGTTCGGCGGGTGTGTAGCATGTTCGTAAGATAAAAGCCGGACGGGCCGGTGTGCGCAAGCGCACACTGCCCGTTCAGCATTGCAATCATCGCAAGACAAAAGTCTTGCGATGGTTGTAAGGTGTGTGCCCAGCATTAGGGGCATTATTAGAGAAGCACCGAAGCACCTTGGGAGTATTGCAATTCAGTGTTCAATGTAACTCACTGCAGAATATTAATTTGATGTTGTTCACTACTTTCCTTCTATAAAGGTACAAGGCTCACAAAGTGCATTGACAGTCAGGTGGAGGTTCCTTAGCATGTTCTGTGCACAGGTTTTTTTAATGTAAAGATCAACTAGTTTAAGAAAAAAAGTGACAACAGATCCAGAAAGCACAAAGTGATGTAAGAAAAAACGGCAACAACTCAGAAAATTGACAAAACGGAAATGATGCCACAGATAGAAAATATAGACACATCAAGCATTTGTTATTGGCGTGCGCAGTGCCACCATTGCTGTGCTTTAAATACTTTCAGTAAATACTCCGTTTAGAAAATATTCATTTACTTGTCATGGATTTTATAGAGATATGGATGTAAATTTTTAATGAGGTGGATGAGAGGTGTTTATTGAAAAGTATGCGTAACCTTTAAGTCAACATTATTGTTAGAAATCTAGTACACGGGTCTGAAAAGGTTGTGAGCAAACAAAGCGGTCTCCAGCAAGATATATTTTATTAAAAAGGAGAGGTCAGTGCAGACACAGAGGAATGGAGTCATGGTGTCATAGACTGATATTTAAAGTTCTGCTTCAGGTTAATGTACAAGATGTTTGGAAAAGATGAACAGGCAAGGTAGAAAGCGGAGAGATCAATCATTTATATTTCTGTAAGATTAAAAAGAAAATATAAAAAGCTGTATTGGGTAAACCTAATAATTCTTATTTGTAGTCATTCTCTCATCTTCTCCATTATTTATTGCAGGATCTAAGATGTTGTGTATATTACTGAAAGTAGCAAAGTGCAGTTAACTGAAATCCAATTGGTTTCTCTGGGTTACTGCACTCTGAATGCTCCGTGCACCACAATATCAAATAAAACAATGTATAGGGACATTAAACCCTCCATTTTTTCCTCCCCAATGCTGCTGGAAGGACTTACCTCAAGTGATGCCTCTTGATCGGAACATCATCTTCCTTCCAGTAGTTTCCAACAGTCCAGCGCTGGTGCCGCTCTCTGATCCAGCACAGACTCCTCCTCCTTTCTTCCTGTGTCCCTCGGTCTGTCCTGCGTGCACACTCTCCTCTGCGTGCATTCACTTTTACTATAGCTCTCCTCCTCTCCCCTCCTGTGATATGCACTGCACTTCCTCCTGCACAGCCAATCGGGAAGATGTGGTCTGCAGCTGGGAGCGAGCAGCGTATACACAGGCAAGTATTACCTATTTCACACCTTTTTTTTTAATGTTGTGGCATATATCTACTGCTTCCTAGCTGTAGATATATGTAAAAAATAGAGACTTTAATTCTACTTTAAGTTTAAGACCAGCATATTATTTGCACTGGCTGGAAGGGTTTTAAAGTGTATTTCTACTTTTGCAAGAAAATTGGAGTAACACCTTCTTTATATTTGTTATGTGTTCATATTCACATTGTGTAAGTTAAAAAAAAAACATCAGTTGTGAACTATATATGAAAACTCTGTCATAACACAGGGTTAAAGTCTTAGAAGTATTGTATGTTAATATGAGAGAGAGCGAGAGAGCTCAGTCTGTCCCTCTACATTCACTTTCAAACTGCTCAGAGTAGCCTGAAATCTGCACAAAGGCCAACACCAAAGAAACACTTTTCCTTTTTTTCAGGTACGCTGTGTGAATAGGAACACATAACAAACATATAGTAGGGGGTTCTCAAATTTCACTGCAGACGTGGAAACACACTTTAAAGCCCATTTGTAGTCTGAGAAAAATCAGCTAGAGGAACAGCAGTGCAGGAAAACATAGGTTTTAAAAGTAGAAAGCAGTAAGTCCCTCTGCACTCCTCACAGCGCTCCCGGCCCAAATACCTGTAGTGGTACTCGCAGTGACAATCACGGATGGTGCTGTGCAACAAACAGTAGAAAGCAGAAATCACCAGCACTCAGCAAATATCTTTGATGTCCATTTAATCGGACCAATCTTCAGTTGTCACATACAAAATAACGATTAGGTTTTAAAAGTAGAAAACAGTAAGTCCCTCTGCACTCCTCACAGCGCTCCCGGCCCAAATACCTGTAGTGGTGCTCGCAGTGACAATCACGGATGGTGCCGTGCAACAAACAGTAGAAAGCAGAAATCACCAGCACTCAGCAAATATCTTTGATGTCCATTTAATCGGACCAATCTTCAGTTGTCACATACAAAATAACGACGTTTCAGGACGGCACAGGATCCCTTCATCAGGGCGACAATGTTATATTGTCACCCTGATGAAGGGATCCTGTGCGGTTCCGAAACGTCGTCATTTACATTATGTTACATTGTCGCCCTGATGAAGGGATCCTGTGTAGTCCCGAAATGTCGTTATTTTGTATGTGACAACTGACGATTGGTTTAAATTAAATGGACATCAAAGATATTTGCCGAGTGCTGGTGATTTCTGCTTTCTATAAGTTTTAAAAGGTCATACATTATTTTATTGTTCTCCAGCAGCAGTCCTAAAAGTCGGCTTCCTCCCCGCTCCATGCAAAAGCAACAGTGTATGTCCAGCAGTCCCACACTACATAGTCACACATACTGCTGTCCAATTAGCAGCACTCATGCTCATTAAAAGAAAAAAAAAATTCCCTCCACGTCAACATTGCGAAGATTTCCAAATCTTTTTAGATCCTTACCTGCTTTCTCTGGATATTAATCTAGACCTTTTTCTAGAAATGACTGCTAGGTAAGAGTACCTGCCCTCACTGCAATCCCATGATCAGTCCCAGTGTTATAATAGGAAAAGAAGCCCCAGTGTCCCTTAAGTCATCTTAGCTCTAGACCTAAAGTTCTTTTTGCAAGGAATGACTGTAATTTCACCTCAAGCTGCATTGCAGACCTCTGGGAGAAGCAAGTCCATCATATAAGCAGAGGAATGAAAAGCCTGGAAGGTGCCGTACACAGGGTAATGTTGCCATGGTTAAAAGGAAAAAGAACTGAAGGGTGTATTTCCATTTTTGCATTCAAATTTAAGAACCCCCATCAAAATTTTTGTTTTATATGTACGCATTCACACATGTTTTACAAATATTTGTTAGCTTTCTAGTTATTTCTTTGGAGGTCTTTTGGGCAGATTGCAAGCTATTCCGAACAATTTATCAGTGACAGTGGAAAGGGACAAAGTGGGGACAGACTGTTTGGAATTACCATACAATGTACCACCCAAGTCCTGAGCTCTTTAACCCTTTGTTAGAACAGGCCGTGTTCAAATCTGGTACCGGCAATTACAAAAATGTTTTCGGTTATGGTATGTGAATAGGAACAAACAGAATAAAGAAACATAAAATCGATGTTATCCCAATTTGGTTGCAAAAGTGGAAATACGCTTTACTTTTTTGGGCAGTTATAGAAAACCATAGCTTGCCACACATTAGATGAAAGTAAATGGAATTTTTTATCATATTAATTTTAATAAAATTGCCTCATCTAGGAATTAGACGTTATATCGGTTTTATTTATGAAAGTGGAGTTCTCTTTTGCAGTACTTTACAAATTTGCAACAACATCAGCTGCTCCCCTATTCACCACTTAACACTAACAAATAAAACTGGAGCCACTTTTCTAAATGTAAATCCCACACCTGTGACGTTCCTCCTCCATTCTACATGGAAAATTCACAATAAAGACGATATTTATTTTGCAATTTAAATGCTAATGTTAATCTATTATGCTCAAGAAGAGAAACACCAAAACATGAGCACAGTGTAAAGAAACACATCGTTCTCCGCTATTCAGAGGCTCGAAACGGAACAATAAAAACGTGATCCTGTCAGGTACTCAGTGCTGCCCAGAACTCGACGAGCCATTCACATCCAGATATCAGCGCTAAACATGCACTTTATTAACAAAACGAAGCCGTCAACATGTTCTTTCAGCCATTAGAAAAGCAAACTCATTTTCTCTCACAGTATCCTGAGTGGTGACATGCTGCTAATAAAATCATACACTTCTGTATCAGAAAGGACGTGGTAACTAGGCCGGAATTCAGCCACATCGCTGCTCCTTAGTCCCGGCTAACATTCCTCTTGGATCTACCGGTCAGGCCTACTCACAGCTGCCGTGTAATGTACAGCTGGGTACGATATTATCAGCATATATTTATAAATTGGGGATTGTTGAGGTGCTAAAGGGGTCAACTGCACAGCTGGTGAATAAATGGGCAGAGGAGACACTTCAAGATACTGGATATGCCCGCCAAATGGCTGGTTGTCATGGAATGGAGTAGACATACAGCTAGGGTCAGTTCTAGAGCCGGCAGATTCAGAAGAAACAAATAAAAGCAGGATAATCGGGCTGCACAGCTGCCTCCTGTGGGAGAACAAGAGGTGAAAGTATTACGCGGAGGATAGCTCAGATTTGATCTGCTTGACAGTCCATTTTATTTATCGATTTCCCTCCGTCTTCTGCTCAGGCAGACGTGAAGTGTGAGAATCCAGGAGAGGAATCTTTAAGATCATCACGTACAAATATGAAACGGTACCTGGGAAAAATGTAATTTGACGGCAGAAAAGAGCTAAACTGGCCCATGGTACTCCCACTGTTCTATCAATTTCTCAATGGTTGTTATGGAAAAAAGAAATACCTTTCGCTGTTTTATTTTGCACCATACAGACAAAACGTCTCTGTCACCGTGACTTGCTATTATTATGTATTTGTTTGTATTTATTTATATAGAACTGACGTGGTTCTCAGCTTTCTTTTTTTATACAGACATGAATGTTTTTGCCAATTAGGGCTCGTTCACACTATAAGCGGTAACTGGCGGTTTTCAGCAACTGAGCAATGCCAGTCAACGCTAGGGCACGTACAAAACAATGTGCCCCACTGACAGCACAATGGGAAAAAAAATGCAGACATGCTTTCACACCGTTTGCACAATACATGCGCTGAGGTGCAGGGATCCGAATGGAGTGTACACTCCAAATAAAGTAAAAAAAAAAAAAAAAATTTTTTTTTAAAAAAAAAAAACAAACCCCAAAAAAAGAAAAAAAAAAAAAAAAAGACAATGTACCACACCCACCAGACCTGTATCTTCACACTAGCCAGTACCCTAAAACTGAGCATTTTAGCATGTAGGCTAGTGTGAATGAGGCCTAAACCTACCCATCTGTATTTGGATTGTGGGAGAATTACACAAACTCCAAGCAGTTTGTGTCTTCTAAATCAAGATGCACAGACTGATTCTGCTCCATCGCCTCCCCTCAACTAATTCCACTAACAAATGGGTAATGGCTGATCATGAAGGGTTGGACACAAAGTGAATGCTTTGCCAACATCAAGAACATGCAGTCACACAGCGTGTACATGCAGCAGTTCACACACACACAATTGTGTTCTTCCATATTGTTTGGACAATCCCCTCCAGGATCCTTCCACAAATGGGCTTAATCGTAGAGACACTAAACACAGGTGATGTGCAGCTACACGTTCTAACCTAAGATTGAAGCAAGAGATTCCAGGGCTGGGACTTCCTCCTGTATCTTTTTCCTCAGGACTGTTAGTTTTTGGAATACAGGATCATAGGAGAGGCAAGTATGTAAAAGGGGGGTAAAGTTAGGAGCGTTAGGGGAGTGCTTAGGGTAAAGCATCATCTTCTGCACCAAACATTAACAGTGCCCATCAACCTGTAAAGCAAACACGTCAACCCCAGACCCCACTGTGAAGAGCCATAGTGCTAACTAATAAGCTGCCATACTATAGATATATATATATATTTTTGTTTGTTTGTTTCCTCGTTTAGTTGTATCACAATCACATTCCTGTCACAGATATTCTCTGTACTCTACTTGTATGGCAGTGTGTATACTGATAAATGTATTCACTTTGGAGGACTATACACATGAACTCTGGCCAATGTATTAGATGGACCAAACACAGATACTCTTAAACTGAATGAGTTCTATTCTATAACCCATAATGCAATTCAGATTTCACATATGGTGTATGAGTGCATTGTATTATCAGCAATCATTTATTCAAAATCCTCCACAACTTTGATGTTGCTATAATGAGTAAATATAGTATAAGGCTCTGTTCATCCAGTCATACTCCACACAGCATATGTGGCCGTACCCACCACAGATGAATCTGATCTGGGAGGTGTATGGACAGGAGCAATCATGTGAATGAGGCCCAAATCCAGGGTAGTGAATAAAAACCATCATTTAATGATTGAGATTCTACATACTGGGAGGCCTCAGATGATCACCGGTGTCATGTTAAGTCTCCATACTAAGGATTCTCAATCAATAATGCACCAAGCAGGAAGCGGTTACATTGTTTGGTGTAAAGGGGCATGGAAACGTGTCCTATTTACACCCCTGATCCCCTTCATCCGGAACACATGAAATGAAGGGGCACATTTCACCTTTGAACTCAAGATCTCAAAATGTTGTATTTGTGTGCCGTTCTATAAAAGGTGAGCTTACCTTTCTCACACTGCCCTCCAGAGAAGCCTCGCTGGCACACACACTCGTAGCTCTCCTTCTTAGGGATGCACAGTCCTCCATTCTGGCAGGGGTATGGCTTCTGGGTACATGGGTGGCCAAGGAATGTGGAGATTTCAATGGCGTTGAGAATATTTTCTTCTCTCAGTAACGGAAAGCCCTTGATGGTGAGCTGCAACAAACACACCATGAAATGTTATTTCCCAGTCACTCCTGTCTGTGTGTGACCATACACCGCCCAATACCTTCAAATACTGTTTGTAGGGATATGGGGAAGATTGGGCCCCTGTAGGGCTTCACTAGAGGACAAGGAGTGCCTTTTGCCATCGGAATTGACCAGTATGGCAGGCAGTGTTCCCCTCCTTTTCTGCGTTCACTGATTGAGTTGTGTACATTGTAGCAGATTCTATGGGTACAATTCTTATTCTTTTCCTCTATCACTATAATATATCCCTGTAAACTACATATTCATCGTTCTAATCCCTCAGAGGAAATATGTCGATTTTAACTTGAAATCTGCCTCTCAGAAACAAACAATTTGCAGATAAACATGTCACTTTGTTTGTAATGAACGGGCCCAAAGAGGAAGAATGAGGAAGCAACAGGATTAAATGAACTGCTAATTAATGGCTGACTGAGGAGTCATAATCTGTAACTCCATTAACAGCAGGGTCACTGAAATAAACAAAACTCTGAATGTCAGCAGCAAGAGATTCATTTATGATATTTATCAGAGTTTGACACAGAGTTAAAACGGAGGTGAATGCTGCACGTCATTTACATAACATTCTTATTCCATGCAGAGTGTAAACTCATTTAAGCTTATTCAGTGATGAAATACAAAGAGCAATGGCAGTGTACAGAGTGTTGTAGACCATAGCAAGCAATCAAATGTTTACTGAAGGCAAATCTATGAAAGATAAGGGCGCCCCTAGCCAAAGGAGGGCAGCTGGAAAACACGGGCAACATCCAACAATGGTTGGCATTCCAGAAAACATGGTCCTCCATATCAGGGCAGAGGAAAGCCAAAGGCAAACATGCCGGGGACTCTTACCTAAGGTGAGGACAATGGAAACTGAGGCAGATTTTTTAACCTGTCCAATCAATATTCTCCAAGAGAGAGCACTTTGGTGGTCATCATCTGCCTTGTTGCCCAATCCAGCCAATAACATCTGACTGTCACCCTGTGCCTAAAGGCATCTTAAATTGTGTTACTGTACATGTGTATGAACCAGGCCAAAGGGTACTAACCCCATCAACTGCTTCCACTTATTAGGCTGAGTGCCTATTCCTCTTTGTATTCAGCCTTCATCACAAATGTTAATGTAGAAGCTGAGGCAGATTTCATGTCATTCCCATCATCACCCCACCCCCCATATTTCTTTGCACACTGTGTAAACAGTAAATGAGTGTTGGCTGTACAGAATATAGATGACTTATTCTATGCCTTGCAGGCTTCCTGAAGCAACAGACGTGGCAACAGAGTAAAGCAAGGGCTGTCTACCAACCTGCAGAGCTCCCCCTAGAACTGTCCCAGAACTGAAACAGTCAAATGAGTCAGTACACACAAGTGCTTCGGGCAGAGCAAGGGAAAGCAAAAGCTATCAGGCACTGGTGTGACGGCACCCATTCCTGTCAGTGGCTCCTCCAATGGGAGCAATGAAGACGGCTCAAACAGTGCAGAGACTGAAGATGAAATGCATGTAATTGTGGGAAGCCAAATGTAAATAAGCTTACACTTGTTAACATTAGCTTTGGTTTTAGTTTATAGCTCTTTATGTACCCAGGTTACAGGCCGCATGTTTTTGGGATGTATGTGGATCCTGCTTAGTCAGTGATTGACCTTCACTGTTCCTGTTTCACAATCCAAACCTAATTCGATCTGTGTTGTAGTCAGCCTTCAGCCCGAACACACTGTCTTGAGGCGGGTTGAGTCTAGGTGGTGACTGACGTTGTCAGACACTACAAACAAAATCTATATAGAAACAGCAAGCACGTAGAACATGAGAGGTGACTGCACTGGTGCTTGTAGCACTCATAGAAATTGCGGCAAATCTCTATTGACAATAATCCACTTACCTTCTGTATTGACCCTTCAAAGCTGGTAGATATTGCAGCAGCTCGAGCTAGCTTGCTGAAATCTAGTGCTCCTCCAACGTACAGTGACTCCTTCAGGTTCAATGCATTGTGTGGGGTCTGAGGGGGAGAGACAAATGTTATTATATAAAGGATAAAGTGTACAGGGTAACCTATGATGGCAGTGTGCTCCAATATTTAGGGATGTACCACTAACCTACTACATTTCAAGGCTGAGCTATAGTTTGTCATCCCTGCAACTCAATCTACTTCTATACACTTCATCAGAAACAGACCAGAATGCCGGTGTTATAGCACCTTTTATTCTTGCAGCATGATAGAAAGGCATAGAAGTACAGTTCAATTAATGTATAATGTACACCTGCATAGCTTAAGCCAAACTCCATGAAAGAGATGCTTGCAATCTCATCCTTCAAGCAATGCAAAAGCAATCGGCTATGTGATTGAACGCATCTCTAGCTCCCTCTGCTGGATTAGTTTAGATCGCAGTACTGGTAGAAATGGGCTTTACGTAGTTTTATACAAGTGTGTGTATGATGATTTATTTCCTCCTGCACATCGCTTATGTCACACAGTGATGTGGAATACCATTCCCAACTTTGTTTATGAATAATAAGTTCTATATGTCTCAAAGCCTATGGTTAAAAGCAATATTAAAGGAGAACTACAGACAAAATGATAATTTACTGGTAAAATCAATACTACACACACAACTACACACTATAACACACAATGGGGGAATTTATCAAAGCAATTGCAACAGTTTTAGCCTCTTAGATCATTTTTTTTTTTATGTGCAAATCTGTCTTTTAACACGTGCCCCTGTTTTGACTAGAGCTTGCACTTCTTTTTTAATTGCATGTTTTTTTGCACCTGTTTTCATCTGCACTTGTCCTGGGGCTGTATGAAACTGGAACATCACCTAAGAAAACAATCATAACCTAAGTCCCCATGACCACTTCTTCAAGAAGCCACAGTTAAGCTTTTTGCCTAAAGTTACAAGTCTTCTTTCCTGAAGTCTATTAAACCTCATTTATTAGGGATGCACATATACCAGTTCAGATACCAGTGCAGAAACTTGGCATGTTCACGAGAACTAGCAGGGTTGCAGCGGTTGCAGCTGGGCTCTGGCTCTCCACCATTGTCCTGAAATCATTAGTCTGTATTGTTTTAGAAAACTGTCACATGACAATAAACAAAAATGCATCAGTACTTGTATCTGTGAGTACTTGGGCAAGTATCAGTAATTGTACTCGCAAAACTGGTATCTGTGCATCCCTTTATTTATAAAAACAAAATCATACATTAAAACAGAGATGTACAAATCCCAGGAGCTCCGTGTGCTCCTTACAAATGACAGCTGCCTCCTAACTTTTGGATTTTTCTCTAGTCCAGTCTTGGAGCTGGAAAAGTATCTGTACTTGTACTGGTACCGAGTACGGTACTTGGTATCGGTGCATCCCTATCATTTATCAACAACATTACACTAGCATCATAAATCTGGAGCAAATATATTCCGTGCAAGTTCAAACACTCGCAATTGCTATGATAAATTCCCCCTAATGCGTTGTTACACTTTCATAAGCAGCGTCAATACTACACTGAATATTACAATGCAGTGTACACCTTCTAATGAGAGGAGCCTCTGCACTGTACGTCAGGACAAGCTCGTACCCAGAGCAGTAGAACATAGTTTAAACCTGGTTTAAGTTCCTTCCTTAGGCCCAAGAATATATGCAACTTTGTTTTTACGTCTGAACATTCATGTTTTATGTTTCTTATTTTATTGCTGCCTGTAGTTCTCCTTCACATTCTACAGAAATGTCTACAAGCTGCTTTTCTGACACCCTGATCCCCTCCCATCGATTAAAGATTTACATCAATTAGTACTCAATGCTTGTGGGAATTATGACGATGGATGGCTACATTATTGGAAAATTCCTGCAAAGATAGATCTAGTCTCATTATGGTGAAAGCAAGTGAAGCAGAAAAATACTTTGAAGGAAAAGAGAGAAATGGACACCAAAGCCGGCATCTAATCTATTCTAATTGCCCATTCACACTTGTGCACTTTTTTCTTCAGTTTGGCTGCAGCTGTTGTCCTAACACATGTAGCTGTGTGCAAAAAGCGGGATGTTTTCTCCCTGCGTGCAACATATGTTTAAATGTATGCAAATACCCAGATGAGTTACAATGCCGCGTATGAACAAAACGCATACCAAGAACCCATCTGTATAGAAGTGTGAATGGGCCCTAAAGGTGATTAGTGGAATGGCTGGAATGCGGTGCTCACATGGTATATGAGATGAAATACATGTGCTTATCTTTACCTTGCGGGATTTCTGAAATCCAGACAGTATGCAATAATAGCAGAGAGAGAGACAGAGAAAAAGGAGGAAAAGAGGGAGAAAACAAGTCATCAGTAAAAAGCTTTAGCATGCAGGGTGGCAGACGTCATCCATCCACAATTCAAAGTTTTTCAGCAAGCTTTAGAACAGTGCCAATCCCTAAAGAGCACTAGGCAGCAATTAAAGCATCAGTCCATGTTAGTAGTGTAAGACAACTGCTTAACTCACACAAACAATACAGACGGCTTGCTCCTAATTGTATGGCTTTAAGCCAAGTGCTATTTGCTTTTCGGTTTTGTTCGCTTTCCTCTATCTTAAGTGATTTGAAGTCAATTAAAATGAGCTTCTTTTTTTTTACGTTTTGATGTCTTTATTGGAAGCCTTCACTTTGTTTCCCGCAGATCACTTTCACCCCGGTCGGGAGAGTGGCTGTGCTGGATACGGACATAATGCACAGCAAAATGAACAGCTCGCTGTCAATGGCTGTCAATAGGATAGAGATTTGTGGCCTTCCACAAAGGAAGCGTTAGGGCTTTGATGAAGTCTACAGCTTTTCACTGTGATTAGCTGGGAGAAAACGCTATTGATTATGTCTTTCTGACTGCTTTTCTACAGAATAGCCAAATTGTAGCTGAATCTCACAATTATTGTAAATGGCTGTCTGCTTGAACCATAGGCTAGCATGACAGCAAACGTTTGATTACACATTTTTAGGGAGGCTTTGCCATCAGGAATGTTTATCTAAAGCACCTAAATCTAAAGACCTTCAGGATGGCAATTTACAATCTCCTATTGATTTCCCAGAATCTATGAAGTGTGAAAGCCAACCTGACTGGATATAAGCCCAAAGGATTGCTTCTGTAGCCCCTCATACTACAAAGGTGTTGGCAAATCAAAAGAAGATTGTTTAATGTGTATCCAGCTAAAGAGGAACTAGGAGCTGTAGGTGGAGGTAGGCAGACCGTAGTTGTCCTTTGTGTAGGAAATGAAATCCACGTCATGGAAATATACAGCAGAATTCATGACATGGTGTGGAGCACGTGACAAACGCACACTGAGCAGCCAATTGGCAGGCCTCTGTGCTGTCACATGTCCTGGGAATACCATAGAGTGTGGTACTGTCAATTACCAGTGGTTACCTTGAGGCATCAGAGATAAAGGGTCATAGGCCATGTGTTGGGGTTTGCCCTTTAAGTGCTTTGTCCTTTATTTTCTTTATCCTGTTGTAATGAGTGACATAACCCCAGAGCTAGCACGATACCCACAAGTCAGAGGAAATGGGTGCAGAGACATGAATTCAGCCCGGTGACAGGTCTGCTTTATAATGCAAGCAGTAAGATTTGATCTCATTAGTATGAACATGGCATGGAAGTTTTTTGCCCATCAGTTTGCTTCTACACTCTGCAAAGTGCTGTAGGTGGAGGTAGGCAGACCGTAGTTGTCCTTTGTGTAGGAAATGTAATCCACGTCATGGAAATATACAGCAGACTTCATGACATGGTGTGGAGCACGTGACAAACGCACACTGAGCAGCCAATTGGCAGGCCTCTGTGCTGTCACATGTCCTGGGAATACCATAGAGTGTGGTACTGTCAATTACCAGTGGTTACCTTGAGGCAGCAGAGATAAAGGGTCATAGGCAATGTGTTGGGGTTTGCCCTTTAAGTGCTTTGTCCTTTATTTTCTTTATCCTGTTGTAATGAGTGACATAACCCCAGAGCTAGCACGATACCCACAAGTCAGAGGAAATGGGTGCAGAGACATGAATTCAGCCCGGTGACAGGTCTGCTTTATAATGCAAGCAGTAAGATTTGATCTCATTAGTATGAACATGGCATGGAAGTTTTTTGCCCATCAGTTTGCTTCTACACTCCGCAAAGCTGTTAGATCAGTACAGCTGACAGAGGGCACTTTGAGCGTTTTTCCGCGAGTACGAAAGCGCGGAAAAACGCCTAGGTGTGAACCCAGCCTTAGATCAGTACAGCTGACACATATACATTAATGGAGCACAAAATGAATAAACGGCACCAGTTTATTTGGGTGGGGGTGTTATTAAAGCATCTCTATAATTATCTGACATGTCCCACTATGCAGAGTGAGTAGGGAATGTCTGCCATGAAGCTGTGACCAGTACGCCTTTTTTAATTTCTGCTTTTCATTACAAAATTAAAACAAATCCCATGTCATATAACTGACAATCCCTTTAAGAGTTGCACTTTTTTGTCTCCCGGATATCACCCCAGAATCTCCTGACACATCCAGGCTGCTGTTCGATGTGTCATGAAACAATGCTGTGCAGAAGATTCTGTTACATCATGTGTAAAATGAACAGCATACACCATCCAAACATGAAAATGTGAAATTAAAATAGGACGGGGGACACGGCTTTCATAGCGTCTCTGCAGCACCACCGATTCTGTGCACTCGGTTGCCTTCTGGCCCTGCAGATCTCTTTGGCTGCATGTAGCCATGTGTACTTGAACTCTGTAACACCGGCTTTTCTTCTAAATCATGTCAATATGCGCGCCCTGTCATGAAGGCCCAGGACTGTCCATTGTAATGATGCATACCTGGGATCAGTCAGACCAGTATAATGATCTTTCACACAATGTATTCTACTGGAGCAGGGTGAATCTACAGAACAGAACCGATGACAAGAGGGCAGAATAGAACTAATGACAGGAGGCAACATTGTAACTAAGTGGCCTCTGAAAGCCCTGCAACAAAGGCTCATGGGAATGTTCTATCAAAACTGAGAGGGCGGTTTGATTCTGTCATAGCAGCAATGGGGTCAATTCACCAAATGTATAACATAGGTCTCCTCAAAGTCCTACTGACTTCTGTCTTGTGATGATTGTGAGGTCTTTATGATACATCTGTTCAGGAGATGATACACAACAGAAAATACCAACTGATGAGAAATAGGCTTTGAATTGTTAAATGTCAGTTTTCTATGAAATAAAACCAATTTCGGTTTGTAGATTTAAGGGGGTCAGTCCAAAGAAAAAGTGACATTTTAATTACAGCTAGACTAAGATGAGCTGAATGAGTGACTGATTTACTATATGCCCTGGATGTTCTCACAACAATATCTTCCTGTCTACCTGGGAGAGTTGGGTGTTGCCACTCTTCTTACTGCATCCTCTTCAATTTAAAGTAAATAACACATCCAACAAGGAGAGTGGGAACCCCATATAATGGGCACAGCAGGTATACAGATACATCAAAGAGATAGATTTTACACACTATCGGTGTGTTAGTATGTATTGCGAGTATGCAGCAAATTCATTTTAAATGGGCTGCCGACGCACCCAGAAATGCACATGACCATTTTTTCCGGCATATCACAACGCATTGCATTTGTGCTGCAGTGCGGGTGCCTTGCTCACTACTATATAGTGCATTGTGGTGCTATTCACAATGAATGGTGATGCACTTGGAGGAATGCACAGCTGAATGGGTCCCAAGAGATTGATTGGTGGCTCTCCAGCATCTACCAAAAACTAAAATATCTGTTTTTTAATGGACTGGCCCTTTAAACATTTTGACAAGACAATGATGAAGTAAATTGACCAGCAGCAGGTAACCTGACCCCATCTCCCAGATAAGACTGGCTGCATCTCCCATTTATACTTGTTGTCTAGAGTTCCTCTCTGAAGCGCCTTTTAAAAAATCCATAGTCAATGTACAAAACAAACATAGAACACGTACAAGTTACTGCATGAAATAAGCTAAAATACATATTTTGATTTATTCATCCTTTTAAAACATGAATCACATAAAAGGGTGAAAGAAAATGTCCTTGTGAATAAGCAGAGGTCATTATATGGAAAGAAAGGAGTTCTGGAGACGCTGCATACTTCTCTACTCCCAGCACTGTAGGGCATCCGGCATACAAAACAGAATATGGATTTCTTTTATCTTTTTTCATTGCTGGGAGACAACATGTCCCCCCCTCCAACACAATGAGCCTAGAACTGCCAAGTCGTTTAATTACAGAAACGCGAGTTTTGTGGCTAATTAGGGTTTTGTACACATGGGGCAGTTTAACACAAGGCAGAGAGCTGGGCTTGGCGGTCACTATGTAGATTACAATGTGACTGGAGGAACATGTCTCTCTAAGGCCTGGGAGATATCAGAGTGGAACTTATTTCCCTACTTCAGCATCCATCATTTGCTTTGCGTGTGCAGAAGACTTGCTCCTCATATCAGCACATGAATAAATGATATGTTCAGTTTTATTTCTCCAATGCTGTTTCCACAGTACACAGAAACCGAAACCCGTCATATCAACCCCCAAGAGAACTCCTATGGTCACACAATACGGTGACAATATGGCTGGAGTGGGAGAAAGCCTGTTAACTCCTCTGTGTTTCTGGACTGTAGAAAAAAGCCTATGCAAACGAGGGGCACATACAAACTCCATGCACCTAGTATCCTGAGTATGATTCTAAGCCAGGACTTGAACACTGCATGGCATTAATGCCAACCACTTGCCTCTGAAATTAATTCCATCCACTGTACTGTAGACCACATAGCAGTCTCACACCTAGCAGTGCACCATGAAGCACACCGCAACAAGTGCTGCATATGAACCAAGTGTCAGTAAGATCTGGATTACAGCAAACATGGAGACCTCCATTGCTGGTCTTGAGAAAATGTAAGTAACCTGGTGCCTCTGAGGCACTGATGGAAAACAATTATGCAGATCAAACATTTAGATACATATGTGTGTTTGTTGTGGGTCAATGATTGGGAAAGTACTTAAGCCAGCCAACCAGCATTCTTAGGACGAGGTCATCAATGGTAGTTCCTGTATTTCTTTCAGTAAGTTTCCTTTACATGAAATCACAATCTAGCTTTCCTGAATGGAGCTCAGGTATGAAGGAGTCTCAATCATTGGTTACCAATAGCACTAATTAGGCTCATGTTTTTCAGTATTCTTTTGGAAACATAGAGGGATGTATTGGTTGCTATAAGCAGCACAGTCCTTCCTTCTTTAGGGCATCCATGTTTATAAAAGAGCCCTGGAAGTCCGGAAAGCGGATGTTTTATATCCAGAGAAAGATTCAGCTAACATGTTTCATCATTCGCAGACTTACCGGTGACTCTCCTGTAACCTGTTCCTTGTTATTGATACGCATCTGGCCCTTCCGTCCATTACGTTCCACAGTGACACTGACCCACGTGTTAAGGGGAATCTTTTCCTTGCTCCTGGAACAGACAAGCACCCAGTATAATACATGATGGTACAGAAGCAAAGCTACTTTTACTATGCGAAGACACAATTCAGATTTCAAAAAATGTTTTCAGGGAAATCTAAAACTTAGAAAGATAAACAGAAATAATTGAATGCAACTCAGTTCCATGGATGCCATTCATAAAAGTGATTTTTGGTGTGTAGACATCTTCCAGGAGAAGACCTGTTGTTTGTGTCTCTGAGGAAGTCATCTGTATTGTGTGAAATGGAATGTACAAAAGGGTGTTGTTGTTTAGGTGTGCCTAGTACAGCCCTAAATCTGCAACGGAAACATCAGTTCATGGTGGACTGATCCTTTAAGAAAGTCTGCAGATCCTTAAGTCAGTCTCAGTCAAAATGGATGTACTGCATTTAACTGAAACAGGTCAAGCAATGTTCTATAACTTATTCCTGTTTCCTGTAAAAACTCCAGGATTTGTCCCTTTCACTTTAGCCCTCAAACTGTCCATTAGCCACCCAGGGCTAGCCTGTCAAAATTTGAATATCTACAAGCTGTCTGCATATTAAACTATACTTAAGACTGCACTTCTCTCAAAACTACCTCAGGAGGAAGAAAAATAAGCAAACTTGTCACTATATCCCTCCCACGTCAGTCACACTTCCCATGATGATTGATTTCTTACATTCAAAAAATGTACATAATGTAAGATTATTAGGTACAGGAATCCTTTCAGTCCCAGTGCTCCAGTTATTATGATGTATATTCTTATAGTGTTTTGTGCTAATGAGTATTTGATTATAATAATTTCAGTGATTGGATGTGGCAGTTGTTTTGGCTGGTCCTTTGTTCCCTTCCTTAATCACCAGAGGCAGTTGTGAGTAAGGGTGTTACTGCTCAGAACGTTATGTGTCTACATTTATAATATTGGTATTCTTATAAAATCTGTAAACTTGAACAGTTTTGTGTTTGATGCAAAGACACTCAGGTTAGTACAATAGTAGCCATGACGTACCTGATGACAGCTGCCCCTTTCCCTAGATCATATCTGTATTCCAGATGTCCATCGTGCAGGGCAAGAGACACAAAGTCTCCTTTGCCATCAGTTTTCTGCCCATTGTAGAAGAGAAGTCCATTGGGGCTGCTGGTAAGGAACACCACCTCCACGGTCAGCTTGTCACTGAGGAAAGACAAAGAAGACACGGTTACAATGTTAGGACAAGAAACATTATAATCACTTTCCCTCAGTCGGGTGTTCCTGGGCCCAAAGCAATGACTCGTCGAGGGGACTACACTACACTGAGATGTGAAAGGCTACTGCACTTTGCCTATTGTCAGTACACTATGCCGCTTTACTGAATAAGCCCAAAAGACTTCCCTCTGAGTCAGCTGTATTACAATCACTATATTCAGGGCCGTCAGGGTGGAACTTTAGATAAAGGCAAAGTGGGAAAAGGTCAGACTTATTGCAGTTGTGTGTTTCTCTCCTGATGAGGTTTCTCCTCACTTATCTGACAGGGAAATTTGTTTTGTTGCCCACATTTGCAAGCATGCTTTTCCGTCACTATCCACCCCTAATAGTCATAAGTAATTTGTGAAAATAAATATCTACAAAGTATGAATATATACGAAACATTATGAACTCAATAAAATGTAAATATGATATTCCATCAACCTGTTCCCACTGTGTTATTGGATATAAACTCCTATTTATTTTTTTTATTTCTTTTATTGAATGATGTTTCATCTAAAGATTCAGCTGCCATTGTCACATATATTGCGGAGAAGCCTGTAAATCCATCTAATTTCTAAACGGATCACTCACGTTATGTCTGTGGCAAATGTCTGAAGACCTTTCAGCTCCAGGAAAGAGTAGCCGTTGAAAAGGGGCAAGAAAGGCAGATTAAAATCCGGGTCGATGACTGCAAAGAGAAAAGGAGAAATCAGCACTATAGCTTTTCACAACTGCCCGTTAGCCTCTGTGAAAACCTGCTGCTGTACCATATGATGGGAATTCAGCTAATATGTGTGTCTTTGAAGAGCTGTGGACATGACTGCTGCTGCATTCCAGGCATCATAGGACGCTTGTGGGCAGCGTTTGTGCTGTCGTGGTATGCTGTGTCACACCTGACAGCCACCCTAATCCAAGCTGATTATGTTCCCATCCACGCTATACCCATACTACCCAAGCTAATGGGATTATCAACCAAATGGTACAATATACCTCCACATGCCTAATACCTTTTGATCTTTGCCACTTGCTGGAGGGGCACTGCATTATATGTAAATATTGGTCCACAATTCTTGACCTCATCTTGCGGATAAGGGGCACTAGTACTCCAGCTCACCCATAGATCTGCTTGTTCCATAACACTCCAATCTCCCCTAACCCATACCGACGCATGCTGATTCCATTCCTTCTAAATGCAACAAAGCACCTTATCCCTCCTCAGTGAAGACATACTCAAACTCTGACTATAAGGGAATGGTTGGAGAGGGTGGACAGAATCCATTAAATGGAAGAGCTGATGCACACCCAAAAGGACAAATATGATGCATTTTATAATATTTGGGATTGCTGGATTCAATTCAGATATTCTGTGTTATACATCTCTTATGTGTCTTGGTCTAGATGTAACAGCTAAAATGGCAAACCATATAACGCAAGCCGAGGGTGTCAGCTTTTTTTATTAATAATAATGATGATAATCACTAGATGGGGACCTGATGGAGAACTGCAGGTCCCACTCTGCTGATTGACAGCAGCAGTGGGGGGGTGCAATAGCTAGTTTGCTATTGCAAAGTGAAATAGCCAATAGGAATGTAGCTATGCATTCCAATGCTGATTTATTAATTTTTTTCTGACTTTTTTTTTTAAAACACGATCGCAGCGAAAGATTTACTCTGCTCGAGCAGATTAAACCTTTCCGGGAGAAAGTGTTTCTCTCCCGGGCGGCCGGGAGCCGCTATCTAATAGCGGGAGACTTCTGGCGACCCCTGGCAAATTGTCATTCGACCCCCGAAGGGGTCCCGACCCACAGGTTGAGAACCGCTGGTCTAGACATTGCTCTTACATCTTAGTAACAAATGTCATACAGTATTTACTTTACTCTGTATAGCAGCTCACCACTTACCCCCTCCACCACAAACCTATTATCCCCCTCATGCTTCTAATCATATCCCTCCCCCTTATTGGTTGTAATTACATCATGGGCATACCACAAAAAGTACTCTAATGGCATTCTTATGTGTCATGTTGTTTTTCTATTTTTTTTAATATCTGAAAATTCAATGAAAAGAAAATAAACATAAAAGAAAAGAAAGAGGGGATCAGAGAAAAAATGTATTAGGGCTTTGTCTATGAAAACTGAAGGTGAAGGAAAAATGAAAGCTAGAACGTCATGGATTGCTATAAACAGACTTCAGACTCCATTTAGTGATTTGTATTATAGACGAGCTCCTCTTTTATTAACTCTCGAATGTCACTAGATAAAAATGTAACCAGTCAAACTATTCATTGAGAAATAACCTCACGTCTATACATTACTTATGTTTTTTTGGACAGACAAGGCTTTCTTTTGGTATTAAAAGTATATAATTTCTATCTATTACATGTGAATGTTTCTGGTAGAAAATGTGGCAAAGTTAGTTACAAATGAGTAAATGCGTCTTTACAATTTGACATCCTGTATGTGTTTTAAGGCTACAAAAAGCAAACTAAGTGAATGAGAACACAAAATACATGTTCCTACAAATGTATAAAAACATTTGTGAAAACAACTAGCAAAGGAGAGAGAGGAAGACGTTAATTAGTGATAGTTGGTGATGACAAGAGGTCAATCACTGGTTAAGTAGGAAAGGCCTAAAAACATAAACCAATACAATGAGCTGCAGCTAGCTACAGAGTATTTCGTTTTGTTGACATTTGACTGATTATTGGCACTGTATCAATCTTTTTTGGATGTCAGCTCTAATATACAAATCAGGGCCTCAAACTGACGGCAGGCCCATCGGCTACACCAAGGGATATGTGCCTAGAGGGGAAGGACTCAGATTTATGCAAGGTGCATCCTAAGTCCTTAATAAGTTAAACATACCTAATTACACTAAAGCAAATGATTATGGCAATAAAAAAACAAAACATCTGAACTTACCCTTTTCACAGAACTCCCCCTCTCTGCCCATTGGGCACTCGCACTTGGCTCCACCCTCGGGTAGCACTAAACATGTTGCAGAAACATGGCAGGGGTTGGGGTCACAAGGGTTACGTTCATCTGCACAGGTAGGTCCTGAAAGCATAGGAAGTCAGAGGTAAGGCAAAAAGAGATAAGTGTGTCACTGCAGGGGGTATAAATGAGATGGCGTTGGTGAGCACAAATAACCTGAAAGATTAACAGCTCGAAATAGGTCTAAAGGAGTGCAGGGGATGCCCATTTCTGAAAATACTGTGGGCCTGTTCTTATTTCAGTGAACAGCAGCAGATGCATATCAAATAAGAATATTGCTTGGTGGAGTTCTTATTTAATACCCTTCTTTTGCTACTCAGAAGTCCTCACTCAAACGAGAGCATATTATTTTACATGCCAGCTATATGAAACAAGCATTTGTTTGTTCTGGATGGGGTAGGGAAGGGGTTAAACCTCTGTCATGTTTTTATTTCTGTCTTTGTTCAGGACAGAAAGTGAGGGGAAGAGGGACAGGAATTGATGGCAAATGACAGCCCACGATAAACACCTGACAGATTATTTAGTCCCCTCCACTGAATGCTTTATCCAAAGCTTTGGCTGGAGCTGGCCCTTATTGTAAGGGTTTTGTCAAAGGTAAGGCCCCTTTACGATGGATGGTCCAATTTAGGTCCGCCTGTCAGTTGAAAAAAAAAACATTTTTTTGCAAACATTGTGCAACTAAAACCCCTGTTTTTAACCTCAGTAGTTAGACAGGGTACTTCCATGTGCACCTTACTTTAAAGCTAGTTATGAATTAATGAATGTGTTTGCCATTGATTTTTACTTGTTGAATTTGGTGCTGGGACACACGGGGGCTTCAGCTGCCATTGTAATGTGTGGGGATCTTTGTGTGTCCCTCTGACTTTAAGGAGGTTGGGGTATCTCCTGGCGAACCTGCACCCAATTGATCCTTTCCTATAAACATGCTCGAAGATGGAGGCTCTCATAGATTAGAGTTGGGGGTCACACTACACAGAGGGGCTTTGACAAGGCAGTGCGGCTTCCACATATTATGCAAAAGTTGTGCAACTCAAACCTCTGTTTTTAACCTTCGTAGTTAGACGGGGTCCTATTTTTTTGCAGGCCGGCTGGTGAGTGTGCTGGGAATGTTTGTTTTTGTATTGTGTAAAGCCCTTCCATGTTCACCTGATGACTGTGTTTGCCATTCATTTCACTTGGCAGTTATTTTAGGTGGATCTTATCAAAAGCCCAATGTTAGTTTATGGGTAGCCAGACCTAAATGGACGTGCCTCTGTTTACATCTGATTACCCCTGACTTTGTTCAGGTCTGGAAAATAAAAGTGAACAGAGTTGTGTTTTGGTGGACCTGAACGTGATGGATCGAGGGTAATCTGATGTAAACTAACACATGTCTGCTTACATACAACTTCCCATAGATCTAACATGGGTCCGGTACGTTCCGTTTTTATTCCATGGAAACTGGACAGACACAGAAGTCACAACTGTGACATCCATTCCGCACTGCTCCGATCAGCAGGAGATTTGTGCACAGATCCCCTGCTAATTGCTACTGACAGGCTCTCGTGTGAAAGGGTCCATAAGAGCTTCTTAAAAGTTTCCGGAGTAGCATGCAGACAAGATGAGAGCCATATTACACTCATGGACAACAACACTTTCTTTCCTTTACCCCACTCATAGAACACTCACCTGTGTAGCCATTGAGACACTGGCAATGGAACATTTCTGACTCTTTCACTTGACACACAGCTCCATTATGACAAGGGTTGGGTTGGCATGGGTTGTTTCCACACTCTCCCACACCACTGCCATATAAGACATCTTCTCCTTCTTCCTGCAAGTTGTACACTTGATTGTTCACATCTAGCAGACGAATACAACCCTTCAGGCCCACAGCCACAGAGGTCCGTTCTGTCACCCTGATCAAAGAACAACATTATTTTAGTTGCTGACTTACAGCCTACTGAAGTCCCTTTAACCCACACTAGAGATATACTGGTGTGCTAACTGATTGCTATTAGCAAAAATAGACTACAAATCTTTCTTAAGCTTCAAAACACGAGGCCAAATGCTACTGCACTGGATGGCAGACAAAGGGTTATGACACAAACAGTGATCGTCATCCAGATTCAGAAGGAGCCAAGAAAATTGCAGAACAATATTGGAAATTCAAATCGTTTCCCCCAAATAGGCATGCAGCAGGGTGCATCTTCTCATTCCTCGTGTGCCAACTTTTCTGCAGGCTGTAAGTCTGTATTATTCATATCCTGGAACAGTAATAACTTTGTAGCCTCCAGACATTTTTCTTGCAGGCAGAACCCACGTGATGTAGCACAGTGCAAGCTGAAGATTTCATGACCCATTCACCGTACTGTAATGTACAGCAAGAGCCATGACTTGCGCTGTCACACATGTGACATCAACAACCTTGACACCTATAGCAACTGCAATTAAATTTGTCCTAAGGATATCAGATTTCCTAAGGTTTTAAAATCAAGACAGAATGGAGTTCATTATTGTTCGCCACCAGCCTTACATATATCATCATACACCATTTCCACGACTCCCAGGATTTATTTGGACAGGATTGGTAATTAAATTTGAAAAGAAAAAATCCTGCACGCTGCCTACCTGACTGACAGAACATTGTTACTGTACCGCTCATTACACTAGCCCAGTCTGAAAAGGTGCCATTTACAGATACCCTCTGGACACGTTCCCGTAGCCAGTTCTGCTGTCAGAAGCAACTGATTGTATAAAGCTGAACTCCAGACCAGACGCTAAATACACATCTAATAGTCAAACATTGAAGATGAGCCTTTTCCTGTTAAAGGGTTTGTAATTCTGTCACCTAGGGACCCCTGCCAAGTAGCATTACCAGGTTAGTGACCTCACATTTTTTTCAGTGTAGATAAGCAATGTAGCTTGGTCACGGGCCCAAACCTACCCTGCTAAGAAGACAACTGCCAAAAAATGAGGTCCTCACTCTGTTCTCTCCCATCCAGAAGCTCCCAGTGCTAAACTGACAACCCTGTGCAAACTAGCAATCGCTAAACATAACCAATACATACTTTTTGCTGTGTGGGGAAGCAACCAAGAGGAATTCCAATACAACATACAGAAACATGTGTCTCTACTCATCCTTACCATCACATTAGCATGACTGACAGCAGAGTTTTCATAGAGATGAAGAGGGGAATTTTCTATTTATGTGAAAGACTATGGTTTGCTGAGGCTTGCTGGGGAAGAGTAGCTGTATATAGGAATATCCATTGGAGGTATGAGGACACCTTGTTTACAATGCTGTAGCCATTCTATCATTAAAATTATGTTATTTAGCATTTTCTTTATGCAAATTGTGCTTACAGACAAGATAGAGATGTGTGTGTGACTGGTTTATATCACAGGCATGGTCTTCTTAGCTCATATCAACCTTTTAGGATGCTTGTGGTGTATGCATAGGACTTATTGTGGAATAGATAGAAAACATAGATTACAAGTTTTATAAGCGGGCTATCGAATTACAAATATTTTTGTATCCAGTAATTGATTATAAAGCGGCTCTTCTACTGTGTGACCCCAGAAAGCTCCCTTCTGATACATACACAGACATCTGGTCTTCTGGAGCTCCTCCAATGAACAAGTCAGTGTCTAAGTTCAGGCCGTCGGTACCTGGTGGACTTTCTCCATTCACGTGTGTTTCTCCATCCACAGACAACATACCACTGCGCCTGTTCCTAATTACCACAAGCTGGTGCCACCGGCCAGGCTCCACCGGCACTTTACTGGTGATTATTCCAGTTCCAGATCCAGTGTTAAACCTGTAAAGCATAACTGACCATGTAATTTCACATAAAGATTGTAAAACATAGGCACTTAGCTGTCCCATAAATCTATTTAAATAAGGAAGTTGCAATTTAAAAAAAATAAACTTGAAGGGGGTTTAAAATAGACCGTTTATGTAAGTTGGAACACATATATGGTATCTAATATGATTGGCTGCTATAAGCAGATTTTCTGGACCTTTTATATACTATTATAATATGTGGGTTGGACTCAAGTCAGGCCTGCAGCCATATATGACAGGTCACCACATCAAAATCATTATGTGGGCTCCCATCTCTGTGAATGGATGCCTTGTTTTGATTGATCCAGGCTCCAGGGCTGTGCTCCTCATCTTTCCATGACCACTTAGTGAGCCACTGAGCAATGGTAAACCTGTGCCTATTAGGTTCTCAGATGCTTTACTGACTGCATGCTTGTACCAGGCCAGTGAGTAGCTCACACCAGAACAGGACCCAGAATATGGGCCTTCCAAAACAAGTAAACACTAACAGCTCCTAGATTTCGAATGTACATGTTCCCTTTAAATAAACACAACTGACTTAGCGTGATGAGACCTCTAAATATAAAAATAGGAAGGCGACTTGAAAGAAGAGAAGCATTGGTGGATAGAGATGGCTGCAGGACACGTTTCACTCTACAGGTCTATAACTTTGAGACAGTTTTGTTTTTTGTATGTGTAGTTGCTGTCAATTTTTAAACCAGACTGGAAAAGTGAAACAAAGATTGAATTGCTTGTACAGTTTATCTTTTGCCTTTACAATAAATGAGCCCTATTAAAACTATTATGTATACGAGTTGTTTTTTTTCCTGCCAGGACATAACAAATCATCTTTTAGAATCATATAAAAGTTAGGTACAGGGAATGCAATAGAACATAAATACTGAGAGTATTGGGGGGCAACAGAGTAAATCCACTTACTTAAGCTCCACAAAGCCGTTCACCACTGCTAGCGAGATGAAATCCTTTCCTCGGATCTGGCCATTGTACAACAGAAGACCGTTTTGCTCAGAGGAGCGGAACTCCATGGCAATGCGTACTGTGTGATATGCCTTCATCATCTTGAATGCCAGATAAGACTTACCCCCAAATCCTGGGATGAAATACTTAATGTCTGCAATGAGAGCAGCCATGGGTGAGCACACATAGAGGAAGCATGTGCAGATCAAATGTTCTCATAATTAAAAAAAAACATGAACTGTCAACTGCTAGTTTCTTTCTTGTTCTAAATCTCCCGTCCTCCTCATTGTTGCCATGCACATGGTGTTGTCCACCAGCATTAAAAAGGTGTCGGGTTTGTATTGTAATCTTGCCATATTAATGTTGGATGTAAGACACTATAATTTGGCATTTCTGCAGACTTCTAATGACTACTATAAGCATGAAAAGGCTTGTGAGACCCTTGAGCAGTAGCTCCATCATGGCTGCAGCTCAGTATGTTGTGATGACATTACTGCTGCACTTGGCAGTGCAACAATGGAGTTTACTGTATGTAGGTGATATTCTATGTACAGGATAATCTATAATATCACCAATGAAATACCTCCAGTTCCTCAGAATAATTCTAATGCAGCCATTGTGTCCTTACCTTTCTCGCAGACAGCTCCTCCCTTTCCAGCTGGACAGCTGCAGGTAAACTCTTTGCCATCATCTTCACAGGTGCCACCATGCATGCATGGATGTGAGTCACAGGGTCTTGGAGGCTTCCTGGCTGGTGTGGGTACACGAGCTGGTTTCCTCCTTGGTAGAGTAGCGGTAGTGGTCATTGGCCTCTTTGTAGTAGTCATTGGTCGTTTTGTAGTCATCCTCACTGTGGTAACAGGGTGCTGGACAAGTCGCACAGCTGTTGTCCTCTTGGGAGGTGGGGTAGTGGCCATGGTAGTTGTAGCAAATACGGGCATAGTGGCTGCTACAGTGCTGGTAGTTGCCATGGTACTAGTAGTTGCTGCAGTTGTTGTAGTGGTTGTAACCATAACAGGCACCCAGTCTGAACAAAGATATATGGGTTAGACAAAATCTGTTTTAACAGTAACTTTACCTTAAGATAAAATTCACTCTTACCAGCTAGAACACTGTAATGCCGAATGGCTTAGTCTCACACAGCATAAAACCCTAAACATGTTTTCACCATTAAGTGTGTAAGCACAGTTAACCATGCTGTTTGGTAATGATGATTCGGTCTCAGTACAATGTTACTCTAGCTCAGTATGGCTCATTTAGAATCTAGTCTGATCTCACAGCTATGAGTTCCCTTCCATGGTGAGGTCTGAACATGTTGCTCTTCAGGCATCCCTAGCATGGAAGATTTTAGCGGTTCATTACTCCAGGAGTAGGAATAATAGAACATTCAACGAAAAGAGATTTTAAAGTTTCAGTTTATAAAAAGTGGTCAGTGAACAAGCCTGAGCCGAACCATTTCCGGCTTGCACTCTTGCATTATGCACACAGCCATAGAGGTCAATTATCTTCATAGTTAAGTATTTACCACCTGATCAGCAAATCCTTTTCAGCTGCAGCTGGCCATGCTGTATGCATTAATGCACAAGACTACTGGAACTGTTTATGAAGTGGGAAATGTTATATTACATTATAGGCAAATCTGCACAATGTTCTACAAAAAATGTTGCTCCATTTAGAAGATGGACTTCTTTCGAATAGTTAGTGTTTAACAGATACCCCTACTATGGGCTCATCTTAAGTAGTCCTTGTCATCTATATCTTTATAAAAAAGGAATCCTACTAATTAGGTGAACATTTTACAAGTAATTCCTTGAGGTTTTATTTAATAAAATGTGTTTTATCTGTGATAAATTGGTGAAACTACAAACTCCATTTCCATCAAAAAAAATAATTTTTAATAATAAAATGCCCCCAGAACTTGGGATATAACCCCTGGAATACACAAACATTATTTATATTTAAAAAAATGATGGTAGAAGATGAGAAACATTGAATGGAAGAGCTCCAATCCACTGACCCATCTTTCCAATCTCAGAATTTACTCATGACTGCACCCCCGTGACCACAGTAGAAAGGTCACAATATGATAAGGGTTAATATGAGCATAACAGTGTTCTCTCCATTGTAAATCTGCTACCATGGCCAATCTCCTGATCTGACTTTGCCTTTATGTGTGTCCCTAAACACCACATGTTGACCTTTACTTTGAAAAATATTTTAGACAGCACCAGCTAGCAGCTCATGAGTGAGATTAATGCCTTTTTATCCACTCATTTGTAATGGGCAAAGGGACCAAATATCATTTCTGCATCAAGAAACCGGAAAATCCAAACTGATCAGCGTTTTACTTCCCAATGGGATTTAAGGCTGTAGAGTTGAGAATGTAACAGGATGATGTACCAGGGATCTCACCAAAGTCCAAGAACTTCACGTTGTCCTGGATTGGCGTCTTTATAGTGATTGCCTTCTTCTTGGTGCTCTTGAGCCTTGCCAGCAACGCTTTCTGCACATCAATAGCAGTCAGGCTGGAAGCTAAAACAGAAGAGAAACAATGCAACCCAATTGTATCCTGCTGGCATTATGCATTAAAGAGCTCTTTCAATTTCCTAATGTATGAGCACCAGCTGGCCAACACAATCTCAAAGCACACTGTGATGCAGCACTTGGGGTGGAACTCGTCGCTGGGGACCATCAATGCTATATAGCTGACATTAGTTGAAGTCAGTATTAGATAACCTAATGTACAGCTTCTTGTAGGACAGGCTGATTCATTTATCTACACAGATTATGTAACATGGCTTAATTTAGGAAAACATGAGATGGGCACAGTTGTCTCAGTCTATGCTGACCCACATGAAGCAGTCAGATTCTTCCTTTCAATCTCACCTATTGTTAAGGAATAATATAATTGGTCTTTCTTAAGAACAATTTGCAGACAATGCTTCCATTACTTTCAAGTTTCATTAAAAAATCCAGCATATTCATAAAGATTACACATTAAATAAAATTTGTTGGGAAATACAGTGCCTTCTAGCTCCCAACCAGAACACATCTATCAACCTCCATCAACCATCTTAATGAAACTCAACTCCTGAAAGTTGAATGTCATTTATTTGCAAATTAAGTCCCTTTGTTTGCTTGCTAAAAAAAAACAATCCAGTGGAACCATGTGCTGTAACACAGGGCAACCAAACAGACAAAAATGTTTTTATAACTGTGACTGATTTCTGACTGGATGTGTTGCAGCAAACTGCTACTCTTTGCACCATGTCAATTAAGAACACCCCCACCCTGTTTGCGGTAGAGTGAAAGGAAATGTAGGTCTCCACTGAGTCTTCATTGCTCACCTCAGGCATAGTTGACAATCTGAGCTCCAGGTGAATCTGCTAATGAATGCATAATGTGGCCTTTTTGTGTCCTGTACCTTCTATGGTTCCTCCAAACATGCAGAACTAAGAGATATCCAATTGGCATTGCAGGCAGCATCGAAGACCTGCTCATTACACCCCATGCCCACTCTACAAGATTTAAACCCTGTCCGAGGCAGAGAAATCTTTATGTAGCCGACACTATTCGTAAAGATTAGCATTACATATTGTCATTCACCAGTCAAGTTAAAGTTTTTTAAAAAGTCACTGGCTACCTTCTGTGGAGAAGTGATAAATGTGTGTTCAAATATTAAAGCCACATTTTCATACAGTCCTCTCTTGGCAGCAATAACAGATTCAATTTTTTTGAAACAATGACTGACAGATATACATCATAAAGAAAAATGTCTAGATCAAGGCAAGACTAGGTGTCGGTAAAGTATGTATTAATCATTTTTTCTGTGGTTGTGAATAAAATAAACCAGACCCTCTAATTACTCTCACTGAACATTTCATATGTCTGCCTGAATTAACAAACCTGGATCGAAATGCGTTTCCACTATGGCTCTGATGGAGTTGCTAGGACCCAAGTCCCGTACACGGACGCTTCTGAAGTCCCTCTTCACATCGGAATTTCGGAGAAGATTATCCAGCTGAAAGACAAGCAGACAGACAGGGGTATTGTCAGAGGAGAACATAATATAGCAAAGGGGAACTTTGGAGTAAATGAAAAGCAGGTCATAGATTTAAAATAAGGATTAATATAACTGAATATATTCAAAGTCCATCTCAACCCAAAATCATTAAATCAGTTTGGCATTGCAGCTGGCACGTTAGAGCATATGCTGGCTTCTCATATGTCTCATGTCAAGATATGTTTAGTAGAATGTTTACTTCAGGTTAATTGCATTCACTGCTACAAAGCCAGATCATGGTGTGTCCCCCCCTCCCCATGCCACAAACTGATACTTCATAAATGCAAAATAGACAAAACAAATATTGAAAATATGGCTGAAAGATACTAACGTCTTTGTTACAGCACTATGAGAGGGCCAGAGGTACAAATCGCTGATCAAAATATCACCACTGGAGTCCATGACTGATGTATAGAGCCAGACTCCACTCACCCAATATTAAAACATCAGAGTTGTCCTTTAACACTTTTACCAACTTTAAAACAATAGGGAAGCTGGTTAAAACCACCACAGGACCTCACACCCTTAATAATTTTCTCTCTACGCTCGTCCTCTCCACTGGTTTATGTTAACTGTACATCTTATGCAGAGCACAATAGCAAGGTCATAGCAAGTTATAGTTAGTCACATTCAACTGGACTTGTTCTGTAATGCTGAAAATGTTTCACAGCTTAACCTAGTCAATTTTAAGACCATCTGTCCATTTCCACAAGTTAATCCAATCACCGTAGAATGTGTTTCATGCCTCTTCCAACCAGCCCTCTCTGTCACCTACTTTCGATTTGTAGAATGTTTCCATTCATAACTTAATTTTTTTTTTTAAATCGCTGCTTACAAATGCGCCTTTTTGAAAACTCCATGTCTCAAAAATCCTACACGTCATAAAGGGGCAGGGAATGTCCCCACCACAACTGATCTGGCTGGGAGGGGCGTTTGTCTGTCACAGTTTTGAGTGTGCTTAGGCCACTCAGGCGAACTAGGTCCACACCAAGCCTCAGCTCATCACTAGTAAAGGGGAGAGACCCCATTCTATCCAAATCCAAACCTCAAAAAAGTTTAAACTGGAATTATTATTATACAGGATTTATATTGTGCCAACAGTTTGTGCAATGCTTTACAATATTAAGGGAGTTGGACGAAGGCTTAAACCCATACATATGTGCATGACTGGAAAAAGCATATAGACATCAAAAAGTTGTAATAAAGGCTCAAAATTTGACTAAAAATTAGGTTATATTAGTTGAAAGTTATTTTTTATTACTGTTTTGTAATTACAGGATAAGTGAAAGTGACACTATACATAAGAGTTAAATCTTCCAAAAGTACCCTAACTAAGGATTCTGAGAGAGGATGTTTAGTGATGGCAAGATAGTGATTTATCCCACGTCAGCAGTCAGCCATGTTCTTTTCCTGACCCAAACAGAAACAATTAAAAGTAAAATAAATTCCAAGAGCCAGTACTATCGCCATACAATTCTCCCTGCTGTACTACTTGTGAGTACCCTGCTTCTTCTCTCTTTCTTCATGCAGGATCTCATTACTAATAACTGGGAGAAAAAAAAAGATTTAGGCAAAGACTAGTTACCACCCTTAGGGCTAATTTTAATCTCCTTGTATCAATCTGTTGCTGGTGGACTCAGAATGCCGATTGTGTGTATGAATTTTAGCAGAAGTTTCTTTTACTCAAATCATTACAAAGGGTGGAGCTTTATATTTGGGCATTATCATTAAATTGTGCCTAGCACAGCATGATATCTGTGTGCATGCCTGTAGACACCGTGACATTGGTGCATTTTATTAACTGTCCACTGACATTTCAAGCAAACTTTGAAGTGAAGAGCTCCAACACCAACCGTTGGTTACCATAGCGGAGCACCATACATCATACACTTCTGTACATCAGTGTGTGCACTCGGCAGTGAAATGCTGTAAGATTTAGCACTCTGAAATATCAGAACCCTTCTTATGCAAAAGTTAGACATTTATCACACCTTTTTTACTGCGTATATCTAGTTAGAATTGCATTAGGAATTTAATCTACACTTGCAATATGGCTGCAGAATGCCGCAATGTATGAGAACAGACACTCTTGTGACCCTTTGCTAAACAGACCAGGTTGTCTCTCATGCCATCCATCCCAATGAATTTTATTTCCCATAAATTGTTTCGGATATACATAAAAGAGATATCTGCAGAAAAAAATCTTAACGCCAGACGATCCAGCCTCATTTTGTGTAACTAGAAATAAATAGTATTCATCGCTCACTTGCAGATTTATGAATGTTAAGGTCATTTTCATTCGTAGATAAAATCAGAGAATTTGACAAGAGCCCAGAATTGAGGTTGCATAAAACACAGTGCTTACGCTGTTCTGAGATGCCAAATGCCCTTTAAGTCAATCACTTGGTAGATACAGTAGATATGCTTAAAATGGAATTATGAAAAGGAACAGAGTCAAACAATACTAGCTTAATGAGTGTGGTTTATATTAATTCTCTTCTTATTCTGGTTTCCATGGAAGCTAGATATTAAAGGGCCGGTAAACTTAACAGAAAGAGCAAGCCCTGACATTAAAAATATTCAAAAGTTATGATAAAATGATCCCGTCAGATATGAAACTAAATGACAGTGTTGTAGAACATCCTGAAAGAATGTAGACCTCGCTTATACGCCTATTCATGCAATCTATGTTGAGAAGCAGTGAGGGCACCCTCTCGTCATATAGTGGGAAGCTCTTCAGAGTCATTAGGCCTCAACACTGCTCTGTGGCTGGAAAGCAGAGAGAGCAGGTGAACAAACAAGAAATTTACACTAAACCCTGCAAACTCAGCCACAAAAAGTTTGGATTTCTGAACTCCTGGTTGTCCAATTACTCTTCTATACTCTCCCCTGTCAAGTAAACCTCTACTAAGGAAAATGTTGCTAACCACCCTTTAGTGGTCTCAACACTTTCTGGGATGGAGGTCAGAAATGGTGGGCTCTGTATTTCTCTCCAGTGTAGTTTTGTGCATGAAATGTACCTCATACATTAAATTAAATGTATAATAAAGAAAGGTGTTATTGTAGCTTGCAGCAACGCGACAGATCCTTTGTTCCACTGTCAAACATGGTTCAAATAAACTAAAATCAATAGCCAGTTATATTTAAAAAACCCATGATTTTAATTGGGTGGTTGAGGTTCCACCTTACATAGTGGTGGACCTGAGCCTGTGCAAGGTTGTTTTCTGATGCAAGAGAGGCACTGTCTGATGGGTTAAGATCACACATGGCACTTAAGTAGTACCACATGCTGAGCTTGGCAGAATGCCACAGGATCTGACAGTGGTGTATGAATTTAGCCCATTAGGGTTCCCCATCATGGTCGACTGTAAAACAGCTGACCACAGGCTGCTAAGATACAGATGCAGGTGAGGCTAGGCTGTGGATAGCTGAGTTCCTCCGGTTTGAGGAAGCCTTCACCCCACATCAAGAATGGCAGAACTGTCACAGATAAGTTATGTATAAATATAAAGCATTCAGAGACTGTCACTCTGTGCTAAAGCAGAGACTGCATCTAGCTCATTTATGAGTATGCACACTTCAGAAGTCTGTAGTGACACTAGAGCAGCAAATGTGTCACTGGATACAATTACCCTCCAGTAAACTATCATCTACTAGTAAGGTATACTATATACCTTTAGTACATATCAAGTTCTTGCAGGTGGCCATCACCTTTCATACTAACAAGCTGGAGCAAACTGACACAAGGGCTCTAAATGATATATAAAAGGCAATATTTGTCTGCAAGTAATTGGTTAGATCAATAAAGGGCTACAAGCAGAAACATCTGTACAGCATGCTTATTAATGTCCTAGGCAAAGATGGATGTATTTATTTAGGCATTGATACTTTCCTTTTAGGTCTTACAGAATTGTAATAAGGGACATTCTTGTAGACCAGGGGATGGGAAAGTGAGCTTTGTTCTTTCTTCCACTCACTTCTGTGCTACATGTATCCTACAGATGGATGAAGCTTAATCTCCAGTTTTCAGACACCTCTTCCTAATTAGCCCAAAAACTAGCCCCAAGGAGAACAATACCAGCAGTAATCCTTCCAGGGCATAACTGGAGGAGATGATAACAAACTATATCTCCAGTGACTGGACATGCAGCAGACAGAGATTAAATGCTCTCTCAGTAGTAAGAAAGTGAAGGGAATAGCAGTGTCTGGGGATGACACAGAGAAAGTAGAAATCAAATTGTGAAGACAGAGATTAAGAAAAGCCATATAACAGCATATCTCTTAGTTTTCCATCAAATCGACAGAAGAGCAGACTTAAAAGTGAACCATCTATATATATATAGAGATCTCTATATATATATATATATATATAGATCTCTATATATATATCTATATATACGTATATAAAAATATATATCTCTATATATCTCTATATACAGTATATATATAATCGCTACCCTGTGTCCCCTGTAAAATGAGAGCAAAAGCCAAACAGTCCATGTAAAAATCACTGTATCCTTAGATTGCTCCGTGCTATCTTTTATGTCCTTTCCTTTATTAGTATTCATACGTGCTGAGCCTGACTGTGAAAGTGTTGATCCCCTTCCTGAATAAGAGTGACGATGCTGTAAGGTGATAGTGAAATTATTCACAGTGCTGTCACCACGCTTTTCTCCTACCTGTACAAAAGTAAAGCTGTACGTGGTGATGCAGATTCTTCCCCAAGCATTGCAACATTGAGGAAGAAGCTGGCCATTCCCTCATCAGGCCAACCCTGTTCCTTTGTAGTCAAAGACCCAATTATGTTTGTAAATAAATGTAGTGGCATGTCTCTCCCTGCCCTCAGTCCCTGCTATGCTGAAGAAGAAAGGGAGAGAGCAGTCATGGCACCGCTTGCAAAACCTCTGAAAAAGGTGATTTTGGCCAGATCTCTCCCTAACTGCATTCACCTCCAACTG